TTTTAGAATTCAAAACAAAATTTTCAATTTTAATGTCTTATTTGTTTGCCTCATAAACTAGGAAATTACCACGAATTCTAATACAAAACTTTTAACTTTTTCTATTTTTAACAGTAATTTTTTTTTGAAATAACTTAATTCTTAAAGAATTATCACAAAATTATTACTAATAAATTATTTAATGAATAATTTTACTTAAATATTTCAAAAGTAATTGAATTTTCACAGAGTTGCGGTTACAATTTTCATAAATAAATGAACTTCAAACGGTTTTAAATTGAAAATTTTATAAAATTTCAATTTTGCATGAATTTAATTAGAATTTTAAAGAACTTTGGATTTTTGAAAATTTTCTATAATTCAAATTCTTCTGAAATTAGTTAAATTTTTTAATATGTATTTATTTAATTAATAAAAATAATGAATTTTTAGAAAATTTTTAATTAAAAACACTAAAAAAAATTGAATTTTGGAGATGTTACAAATAATTGCAATTATTATGTTCAAACATTTTTAAAAATTCTCGTCAAAATTTCAATTATCTTTATAAATAATAAATTCTTCTCCTCAATTCAATTATTTTCAAAAATTTTCCTCAATTCAATGGTTTTCAATATCTATGCCAGTTTAATAAAATTTTCCAAAAGATTTCAATAATTTAAAAAATTTTTTGAGAAAATTCTACGCAAAATTTTATTATTTTCACGAATAATAAAAATTTTCCAAGGAATTCAATTATTTACATATTTTTAAAAATTTCTTGTCAATAATTCAATTATTTTCAAGAACAATAAAATTTTTTCACAGGGTTTCAATTATTTTTATAAATAATAAAACGCATCGCAAAATTTAAATTACTTATAATATAATTTTAATCGAATTCATGAAAAAGAACTTTTTGAAAAATTATTAAAAATAATTGATTTAAAAAAGAATTTTAGTTAAAAATTGTAGAAAATAATAATTGAATTAAAATGATGAAAATAATTTTAAAGAAGTTACAGTAAAAATATTCTTATAGTAAAAAATAATCTCTAAATTTGTATTAGTAAAAATGTTTACTAATTTGAATTAGTGACTGACTTTTTGCTTTTGAATTAGTAAATGTTGCTAATAATTAATAGAAATTTGTATTCGGTCATCTGCATGTTTCTTAATAATATTTTTATAAGTTATTGATTTTCAAGAAGGCTTGAATTTGAACATTTTTGAAAATCTTAATTGATATGAAAAATAATAATAATTAATTATATTTATTTAAATTAAAATTATTGATGTTTTCGAATAATTTTACAATTAAAGAAATTCGTATACTACATTTTTGGAACAACTCTAAATTTCATAAGCTAAGTTTAAATATATTTATTTGCCAAATTATTACAACATAGTAATTTTGGGAATAATTTTGTTTTAATTACTTTTATATTTTCATGTGCATATTTCTTTGACAAAGTATTAAACATGTGTTCAAAGATAAGAAAGATAGGAATATAATAGAATTATTTATTTCAAGATAATTAATTTACATAAAAAATTTCCAATGTAACAGAGGGGGAATTAAGACAGGTTACATAATAAATTGCCTAACCTTTTAAATTATTAAGAATAATGATAGTATATTCGGTACAAAAATAAAGCTTTTTTTAAAAAAAAAATTAGGAGAAACTGCTCTTTAATGGATAAATTCCTACAAGTGATAGTTGTAAATAATTGAATTCTTGTAAAATTCTTATTATTTATGAAAATAATTAAATATTTGAATAAAATTTTATTAAATTTATTTTTTTAAATAATTGAATTCTTTTCGAAAATTTTATTAAAATAGTAGATAATATTGAAAATCATTAAATTGAAAAAATTTTTTTAAAGTAATTGAAATTTTTCCAAGAGTTTTAATAAAATCTTTGAAAATAATTCAACTTTCGGAGTCATTTGTAACTTCACCAAAATTCAATGTCAGTTCAATTATTATTTTCTAAAATTTGTAATAATTTCAGAATTCTTCTTCAAAACAATTATTTTCAATAATTCTTGAAAAAGTTCTTTAAAAATTTTCAAATCAATTTGTTTAAAATTCAATTTTATGAAATTCCGATTATTTTGAAGTTTTTCAATGAAATATTTTTTAGGAAATAAAAACTTCAAATATAATTTTAAAAAAAAATTGAATTAAACTTTTTCAAAAAAATTAAATTTTTCAGAATTGTTAGTTGAAAGTATGAAAAATGTTAATTTTCAAAGATTTAAAATTTTTAATTTGAAACCTTTTCAAAATTTAATTATTTCTAAAAATTTCTGCTATAATGCTTTTAATATTCAATTATTAGAAAAAACTTTAACTATAACCTTAATTTTGAAATCAATTTTTTATTAAAAAATTCTACGAGAACTTAATTATTTAAGTACAAAGCTTAATAATTTATTGAATAATTGAATGTTTATGTTTTTGACGAATATTATTAAAATTTTTAAGAATGATTTCATTTTTTGTGGAATAATAATAATAATAATAATAATAATAATAATAATAATAATAATAAATAATTGAAATAATTAAATTATTGCAAAGAAATTTTAAAAAATATGTAAATAATAATTGAATTCCTGGGAAATTTTTATTATTTATGAAATTAATTAAATATTTGCGTAAAATTTTAAAATTTTATTAAAATTTCTAATTAAATTCATAGAAAATTGAAATTTTACAAAATTTTAAATTAAAACCTTTTGTAGTTGATCTATTTATGTAAATTGTAAACGCAACTCTTAAAATTGAATTAATTTTAAAATATTTTAGTAAAAATATTCATTAAATAATTGCTAAGTAATAATAAATTTATTTCATTGTATACTCTTTTAAAGAGTCTTTACAAATTCCATAACAAAACTCTTTTGCTTAATAGCTACATGAACATCACAAACTAACAACTAAAACTTATTTAAAATAATTTTTAAGTAATAATTTTATAATAGTTCCTCAAGAATTATGTTATTTGAAAAGAAATTATTGCCAGAAATAGAAACGTTGATCAACGTTGTGAACATCAACTTCGTTCCATTAGATTAATTTTGAAATAAGTAAAAAAAAAATTTTAATTTCGAGTTTTCTTAAACTTTAAATTATTCCTTAAATATTTAGTTTATTTTTATGTTCTCAGCCTTATTTTAAAATGAACAATTTGACACAAAATCGTATTGAAAGAACTTCAATTAAATTTTTCTCTTTTTGAAACATTAAAATCGACAAATGTAAAAAAATAAATCTTTAATAACCGAATTCGTTTAATTATTAAAAATCGAAAAATTGATTGTTCATGTTCAGTACCAGAATCAAATGTGCGTTATTTAAAACCCACAGTTTACAATATTCATTGATCAATTTAATTAACATTCGCAAATGAACGAACAACTGTCAGGGGTATTTCATTGAAAATTCTGATATTGCCAAATCACAAAATTTTCAATGATTTTTAATTGCTCAATTTCAAAATTTGCGAGGAAATATTTCTGCCAGTTGTTTATTCGACCATTTTGAATTTCGGTCAAACGATTTATTTATAAATAAAATTATTTATAATTTATAAATAAAAGTTTGGTGTTTTAACAATTCTATCAAATGTAACGACTCATGTTTAGAATTTACTATCCTTAAATATTATGTTTACTCTTATTTTACATGCGCACTAACACTAGAAATTGCGCCAATACCCCTCGTTTTATTGTCGCAAATAATAGTTTATTTTCTAAAATGCATCATTCAAACTTCTTTCTTCTTTAGTCAGTAAAAGCAATATATTGAACTTGTGAAAAAATGAGTTGAAAAAAAGTCAGGTTTATTCATTAGAATAAAATTGTCATTTGACAGAATTTTATTAAATAAAATATTTTATTTATACAATATTTTAATGTTCCTAAAGTTTCGAACGTTCACATGAACGACGATATTTCTATTGCTTCTTTTAATTTGAATTTTATTTAAAAAATATTGATTCTATAATTAAAAAATTATTTTAACTATAAATAAATAATCGCAATTCCATTATTTTTTCATTTCAGTTTAGTAATTTTTAAAAATGTTGTAGAATAGAAAAATATTTCTTTCATTTGAACGTTCAAAACTTTAGGAAAATATATTTTATTAAATAGAATGAATTTACATACTTCTAGTCGAATTTTTACTTTTTCAAATTAATTTTTAAGACAATTATTCTTTAAAATTAAATTCTTATATATTCTTAACTGACTTCCAAAGAATTCTTTCAAATAAAAATTGTAATAATAAAAATTAGATGAAATGAAACTTTTTACATTTCAATTTAATTAATTAATTAAAATATAAATTCGATTTAAAAAATTCTATTAAATTCTGCCAAACAAAAATTCGTTCAAATAAAGTTTTTCATTTTCAGGTCTCGAATATTATGACTTTTTCGATTTTCTTCGAATATTTTCCAAAAATCCGTCTTTTTTCAATTTATTTTAAAAAATGTTTTAAATTTAAAAATTTTTTTTAAAATTAATTAATTAAAATATAAATTCGATTTAAAAAATTCTATTAAATTCTGCCAAATAAAAATTCGTTCAAATAAAAATTTCCACTTTCAGGCCTCAAATATTATGACTTTTTCGAGTTTCTTTAAATATTTTCCAAAAATCCGTCTTTTTCGATTTATTTTAAAAAATTTTTTAAAATTAATTAATTGAAATATAAATTCGATTTAAAAAATTCTATTAAATTCTGCCAAACAAAAATTACTTCAAATAAAAATTTCCATTTTCAGGTCTCGAATATTATGACTTTTTCGACTTTCTTCGAATATTTTCAAAAAATCCGACTCTTTTCGACTTATTTTAAAAAATTGCGACTTTTCAGACTTTTCTTTCAAATATTGCAACAGAATACCAAATTTTAGGAGAAAATTCAAATAAATTGAAATTTTCATGAATTAATGAAGAAATAATAAAAATTTATAGAAATTGAAAATATAATTTGAACTCACCTGTCCATTTCGAAATTGTTGTTGCTGTTGTTGCTGGTGATGAAATAAAGCGACTTGTTGCTGAGCAGTCATCTGATTGTTCAAATAGACAAGATGTTCTGCACTTGGATTTGCACTCTGAAAAGTTAAGTCAAATTTATCAGTAACTAATAAAATAATGTTCCTTTTTAATTCAAATTTATCTTCCATTTATACGGGTGATTAAATTTAAAATGACATTTTTTTGTCCTAGCAAAAGAAACGGAAGTACAAATCTGTATTAAATGAATAATAAATCTAAAAATTATCAGATATTCAATACTTTAAATTTTGAAAATGATATTTTCCATAATTTATGTTTTCTAAAATAACAATAATTTCGTTTTTCTAATCGAATTAGATTTAAAAATAGGTGAATCAAAGCGAATTTTAAAGTACACAAGTTATTTATAAAACTTGAAAAGTTACTTCCACATTTAAAAAAAAATAAGACTATCTTTACAATTTTTGGTTTTTAAAATACATTTAAAAGAATGTCTTACTTTCCAAAATTTTAGATTTTTAAAAATTTAGTTAATATGGACAAAAAATGTTCAATAAAAGCTCAAAAGATGCGTTAAAAAAAACTCAACAAAATTAGGGAAAACAATTATAGGTGTCCTAACATTTTTTTTAAAGTTATAGGCAAGAAACGTTTTTTTTGAAAAATTAAAAATTGCAAAAAATATAGTTAAACTTAATTAAGAGGTTACATGGGTCAAAACCTTCAGAAAATGCATGTTTTTTTTGAATAATTTTTTTTTATAAAATAAACAAATTTTTTTATCTGAACACATTGATATCTGAAAGTACATTATAAAATAAGTAATTAATTGTTAAAAAACATTAAAAATTAGGCTCGTTCTCGTGATTGAACGAAGAATTTTAAAGAAATTTAATTTTGTATCTTTTATAGTGTATTTTGTCAAAAGATTTAAATTTGAAATCTTGTCAAAATTCAATTACTTCTAAAAATTCATGCTATAACTAGCCAAACTATCCGCGCGCAAGCGCGCGGGAATGTTGTATGGGGCTGCTTATTTTAAACAATTTAAAAAATTTTAAAGAAATAATTATTATAACCTAACAAAGAGATTTAACTAACTAAAATTCAAATAATTTCACTCAATGGTCTCAATTTAAATAGAATTTACATTACTAGACTTAAACTATGGCTAGAACAATTACAATTAGTATCTGGGTCATCTTTTGCATTGCTTATTTTAAAAAGCCATTTTAAATTAAATACTTTTTAAAGAAATAATAATTATTACACACTGAAAAAAGTTTTTCTTGAAATAGCGATAAGTTTCTCTAGAATAACGAAAGTATTAATTGAAGCACTGAATAATTTCGCTACTAAAGTGAAATCTGTAGTTCATCCAGCTAAATATTTTTTGCCGTGCATAACGAAAAAAGAATTAAATTAACATCAGATTTTCTACATTCAAAAAAAAACGAATTCAAATAGAAATTAATCATTTTACAACTTAACCAAATTCACCCCAGAAATCACTGAATTCGATAATTTAGAAGAAAGTCAGACAAAAGCAGGGTTCCTACAGAATCTGGAAATCATGGAAATCATGGAAATGGTATGGAATTTTTAAAAGGCTTCTGGAAATCAGAGAAATCATGAAAAAGGCCTGTAATTTTTAAAAAATTCTAAATTTTTTCAGTTTTCCATTTTTTCTCTTGAACAAAAATTCAAATAATAATAAAGTTAAATGGTATAAAAGAGAAAAAAAATGTTGAATTTTAAGAAATTCAATTTTTCGGATTTTTGATAATTTTTAATAATTTTTTATTTTTTTCCAAAGAGTCGAGACAATTTAATAAGTAAAGTATTTTCCAAAAGCACAAAAATAATGAAGCTAAATCCAAATAAAAGAGAAAAAAAAATGTTGAATTTTAAGAAAATCGGATTTTTGAATTTTGTCGAATTTTTGATAATTTTAGATTTTTTACCAAAAAGTCGAGACAATTTAATAAGTAAAGTATTTTCCAAAAGCACAAAAATAATAAAGCTAATTCCCATAAAAGAGAGGAAAAAATGTTGAATTTTAAGAAATTCGAATTTTTGATAATTTTCGATAATTTTACATTTTTTACCAAAGAGTCGAGACAATTTAATAAGTAAAGTATTTTCCAAAAGCACAAAAATAATGAAGCTAAATCCCATAAAAGAGAGAGAAGAATGTTAAATTTTAAGAAATTCAGATTTTTGAATTTTTGATAATTTTCGATAATTTTACATTTTTTACCAAAGAGTCGAGACAATTTAATAAGTAAAGTATTTTCCAAAAGCACAAAAATAATGAAGCTAAATCCAAATAAAAGAGAAAAAAAAATGTTGAATTTTAAGAAAATCGGATTTTTGAATTTTGTCGAATTTTTGATAATTTTAGATTTTTTACCAAAAAGTCGAGACAATTTAATAAGTAAAGTATTTTCCAAAAGCACAAAAATAATGAAGCTAAATCCCATAAAAGAGAAGAAAAAATGTTGAATTTTAAGATAATCGGATTTTTGAATTTTGTCGAATTTTTGATAATTTTACATTTTTTACCAAAGAGTCGAGACAATTTAATAAGTAAAGTATTTTCCAAAAGCACAAAAATAATAAAGCTAATTCCTATAAAAGAGAGGAAAAAATGTTGAATTTTAAGGAATTCAGATTTTTGAATTTTTGATAATTTTCGATAATTTTACATTTTTTACCAAAGAGTCGAGACAATTTAATAAGTAAAGTATTTTCCAAAAGCACAAAAATAATGAAGCTAAATCCCATAAAAGAGAGAGAAGAATGTTAAATTTTAAGAAATTCGGATTTTTGAATTTTTGATAATTTTCGATAATTTTACATTTGTTACTAAAGAGTCGAGACTATTAAATAAGTAAAGTATTTTCCAAAAGCACAAAAATAATGAAGCTAAATCCCATAAAAGAGAGAGAAGAATGTTAAATTTTAAGAAATTCGGATTTTTGAATTTTTGATAATTTTCGATAATTTTACATTTTTTACCTAAGAGTCAAGACAATTTAATAAGTAAAGTATTTTCCACATTAAAAAGTTTGACATTAAAAAATATAAAAAATGCCAATACTTAACCCACAAAATTAAATTTTCAAAACAAACAAATGAATGCAGATAATTTGCTAACGGAAAGGAAACTTACGATTATTATAATGTATACTTTTAATATTAAATTATTAGTTAAAATTGTATCTGAAATTTATTTTTAATTAAATTTTTATTAGAAAAATCTACGAGAATTTAATTACTTAAATACAAAACCCATTAATTTATAATAATTAATTATAAATAGATATTAAAGAATTTAACTAATTTCAGAAGAATTTGAATTATTAAAATTTTTCAAAAACCTAAGTTCTTTAAAATTTATAATTAAGAGGACTTTCTGATGAAGGATTTAAGCACATTTTTGAAAACACATTTTTTCCTCGAAATCTGACGAATCGATTTTTAAAAAATAAAAAATTGTAATTTTCCAAAATATTAAATTAACTCTCTGATTTCCAGACAAAACTTTGACTAATTTATTTAATTGTTAAATTATTCAAAAACATCAAAAACTTAATTTTTAAATAAATATTTAATCATTCTTATTTTTTTTTAGGGAAATTAAGATTTTCAAAAATTTCAAATTCAATAACATATAAGAATATTATTTTAAAACATGAAGAAAGCGATCATTCCGAGTCTTCGACTCGGAGCAATCGATTTCTTCATTTTTTATAATGTTTTTAATATTCAATTATAATCTAAAATTTTAACTGAAATTCATTTTTAAATTAATATTTATTAGAAAAATCTACGAGAATTTAATTACTTAAATACAAAAATAAATATTTTATTAAATAATTCAATGTTTCTTAAAATTCAATTATCATAAAGAATTTTATAAACAAAACTTTAAATAATTGAATTATTTTGACAGATGTTAAGGGGTTACACCACTGTAGACATTAAAAAAATTTTTTTATTTTTTTATTAGCTTAAAAATTTTTTTGAACCTTCTAGAATAAGGAAAAAAAGGATTTATACATGTCTGAAATCGATTTCATTGAAATTTCAAGCTTTTTTACCGGAGAAGAATTTTAACTTACATAAAACATGCATTACAAAAATGGCTCCAGTGCGGACATTTTGGAATATTTATTAATTAAAATTTGTAATTTTTAAGTTGAATATATAAGTTAATAACTACTTAAAATATTGTTACTGTATTTCCTTTCCTTACACTAAAAAAAATTATTGAACAAATGCTTCTTACAGCCCGCTGTAGTAGTGTCGCTCTTTTAACGCGTTTTTCTCAAAACACAGTTTTTGAAATCTGCAAGCAGTATAACTCAAACAATTTTCAATATTTTCAATCGGGTTTTTTTATTACATTTTTAAAATTAAATTTTGAACAGAAATACGTAGGGGTTTTTTGATAAGTTAATTTACACAATTGTTATAAACAATTAAGTGTCGTTTTTTTTGGTCGAAAAATGAGTTTTTTCTTCAAATGCTTGCCAATTACACAACAATCAATATTTTTAAAATCCCCTACGTATTTCTGTAGCTATTCTCATGTAGATTAAGAAAAAAAATTTATTTGTTTCTAGACTGAAATTTACATTACTTATACTGCTTGCCGTAGAGCTCCTGGGAAAAAATATGCATTACTAAAATAGTTCCTGTGCCGCCATTTTGGAATATTTATTAATAAAAATTTGTAATTTTTTACTTGAATATACAGTCAATAACTTCCTAAAACATTATAACTATATGTCATTTCCTTCCATTCAAAAAAAATTCCTGAAAAAAACGTTGTTTTTGAAGCATTTACAGTGGTGTAACCCCTTAATAAAAATGTCATTTTTCGAGAAATTTGATTAAAATCGTATTAAAAATAATTGAACTTAGCTAAAGAATTTTATAAGAATTTTTAAAAACAATTTAATGCCTGTGAAATTTTAATTATTTATGAAAATAATTAAATAATTGCGTAGAATTTTATTAAAATTTTTTTTTAATAATTGAATTATTTTGGGAAATTTTATTGAAATAGTAGATATTAAAAATCATT